TCACCCAAGTAGCTAAGATTACAGGTGCAAGCCACCAGTCCCCAGATGGCAACACAGTTCTAGTTCATTTTACCAACATTAAAATAGGCAGAATTAAACAATATATTGCAAGGGTGTGTGCTAAACCTAAAAGAGAGGCAAAAGACTTCCCAGCACAACACTGTGGTAAATCCAGGTGGTAGGAGAGAGTTGGGAGTGAGAAGTTACATGTTTTAAAGATACCTGGAATGATATGTCATTTCCTAAGCTAAAAAGCATGTATAGACCCTAGTAAATAAAGGCTGAGAATAATTTACATTATAAACATTTACATTATGGAAACTCAGGAGGCTGAGAGCTGAGGGTCACAGTTCAAAGCCAGCCTAAGCAGGCAAGTTTGTGAGACTCATTTCCAATTCACCCCCTAAAAGCCAGAAGTACAGTGTGGGTCAAGTGATAGAGCGCTAGCCTTGAGTACAAAAGCTCAGGGACAGCGCCCAGGCTCTGAGTGCAAGCCCCAGGACTGGCACAAAAGTAAAATTAAATAAATACTTACTCTATGGGATATGTATGGTTGGGCCATTTAGAAGAATGAGAAACATGAATGAATCTGAGGAAGGTTTGCGCATACACAGGAGGAACCGTGGGTTCCACACGTTTCCAGTTGTTTCTTTGGTAAAGGTAACTCGGCAGCATATGTTTACAACTTGTGTATCATGTCTCTGAAAGGACTCACGGGGTATCGGGCGCCCTCTGGCCGTCCTGCAGTGGGGACACGGGGGGCGGTTCGCCCAGTGCCCCCGGTAGGCTCCGGGACAGGCACGGGACGGAGGACCGGGGGGTGGGGGGGACCCGATGCCCTTCTTTGGTGGGGGCGGCGGGTTGCAGTCGGTGGCAGAAGTCCCTAGTCCTGGCTAGGGCCGGCTGCAAGAGTTTAAAAGAAGGAGTCTCCGCTCTCCCGCACCTCCCGATACGACGCGGGAGGGTCAGGCTTCATCTGGGGAAGGACAGCCCCCATCTTCAAAAGCCTCGCAGTGGGCGTGGACCAAGTCCAGCTACAAAACTACAACTCCCGGCAGCCTCCGCTCGAAGCGCAAGCGCAGAGCAGGGGCCTCCGGGTCTCAGAGCACAGAGCAAAGACTGCCGGGAGCGCGCGGCCGGGGCGGGTGTCGCGTGCGGCGCAGGCGCAGAGCAGAGGCTGCCGGGAGCGCGCGGCGGGGCGGAAGTGTCCACCCGCCGCGTCCGGCCCTGCGCAGCGCGGCCGCCCGCGGGCACCGGAGCCAGGCCCCGCCGAGGGTGAGTGACGGACGGCGTGCCCGCCGCTGGCGCCCCTCCTCCCCTCGTCCCGAGGCCGGCCGCCGCCCGGCGCGGCCCGCCCCGCGGGCCCTGCCCGCGTCCCGCGTCCCGCAGCGCGGAGCCGGCCCGCGCTGACGCGTGCGGGACCGCGAGCCCCGCGCTCCTCCCTCACGCCAGACTGCGATGCCCTCCCTCATCCTGGGGCCAGCCCTGTCCAGCCCGGCCCCCCGCACCCGCGCCGCGGTCAGCGCGGGCCTGGGCTCCGGACGCACGGGGGAAGCCGCCCTTCCGCGCCCGCGCGGCCACGCCCTCGCCGGGCCCCGCCGGGCGCCGCCCTCGCCCGCCCCGCTGCCCTCGGAGGTTGACCCTCGTGGACAGCAAGCTCGGCACCCTCTCCTTCCCCTAACACCCGGACGCTCGCGCATCCCCTCCCCGCCGGGCCGGAGCCCGCCTCTCCTCAGGACTGGCATTGGCGACCCCCGCCCGGGAGCCCCAGCTCAGTGTCTCACTCCCCCCTCAGGGCTGTGGACTGGACGGCTTTTCCTATCACGTGTTCAGCAAAGCAATGGCTTGGGGACCTGAGTCAAGCCTGTTGGTGTCATTGAGGTCTGGCTGACCAACACGTGAAAGACACACACACACACACACACCAGGTCTCAGAGGGATCTGCACACACACACACACCAGGTCTCGGGGATCTGTGGCAAGGTGGGAGTGGAGTTGGCAATCCCTCCTGTCCCTGGAGCTTGGCTGGTAGTCATTCTCCTGGCTGGGTCCCTGAGCTTCCCTGTAGCTCCTGCCCAGGCCCTTCTTACTAGAGTATGTGGGCGCCCCACCCTCCAGTCCCTCTCCAGGCCTCAATGAGCTTTCTATTTGAAAGGCACACTGGGCAAGCCAGCCTGCTCCCCTCTTTCTTGCATAAGTCCAAGCACATCTTCAGGGAGAGGACTCCGGCAAAACAGATGCATCCAGCAATGTCTTAACCGCCACTGAATTCTGGGCCTTTCTCATTCATTTCCTTGTGCAGATTAACTTGATCCCAAACGATGATATGTCTGGGACAATAGAGGAAATCATTATACAACTTGGTGTGGCCAAATTGTCCCTCTGTCAGTGCTTGATAGCTTCCTGTTGGCCACAGATCTCTTGGCATTTTCACAACCCATGGTAACAATGCTGTATAAGTTGTTGACACATAAGAACACCTAATCTGATTGCATGGCACACCTGATCTGCTTGACCTGCCATCCGTGCGCACACCTGAGCACCAGGGTCAGTCAGGAGGGGAGCGAGAGGTTTGGCGTGGGGGCAAGGAAATTGTGCTGTGCTCTGGCTGCGTTTTCACACTTTCTTTGGATGTGACTAGAAGTGCGTTTGTGTGTGACAAATGCAGGTGGTCCTGTTGAGTCAGAGCATCGTCAGTGGCAGTCAGTGTGGCAACTCTCAGGGTGGCTGTACAGGGCAGGTGTGCGTGTGCTCTCGCGTTCATTCTTTCAAGACAGAAGAGTGGGCATCCGAGCCTGTTGTTGAGGGTAGTAAAGTGGACCAGTGCTGTCATCCCCTGTTTGGGAAATGATCCGAGGTTCTCTGGAGTACAGCTGTGCCCTCCAAACTGTTGAGGTGTCCTGGGATGCTCATATTAAATGCTAATATTAAGGGAATTTTAAGCTAGTTGGATGTAGTGATTCATACTTGCAATCCCAGCTACTCAGAAGGCCAAGGTCAGGAGGATCACAACTTATGGCGCTTAGCCTTGGCAAAAAGTTCATGGGTTATACCCCTCATACACACCGTCTTAACCAGTAAGCTGGTGGGATGGCATGCATCCAAAATCGTGAGACCTACCTGAAAAATAACGACACAGAAAAAGGAAAGGGAGCAGTTGAAGGTCTGGCTCTAGTGGGGAATGTCTGCCTGGCACAAAACAAAAACAACTTTTAGGCTAATTTTTTTTTTCAGTCAGTCAAGGAGCTTGAACTCAGGATTTGGGCCCCGTCCCTGATCTCTTTTGCTCAAGGCTAGCATTTCTTGCACCTTGAGCCACAGTTCCTTCTAGTTTTCTGGTGGTTAATTGGAGATAGAAGTTTCATAGACTTCCCTGCCTAGTCTGGCTTTGAACCATGATCGTCAGATCTCAGCCCTCTGAATAGCTAGGATTACAGGTGTGAGCCACCTGGCTTAGACTTAATTCTCAGGAACTTTTATGTTGATTTTTTTTCTTTTCATTGTCATGATTGGTTAGGAAATCATAATCCTGATAGTGGAGACATCAGTTTAAGAAGATTTTCTCAGTGTATTGGGCTGGTAGACATTTCTTTTGACTTTTCCAATCCCTCTGAAGTAGTCTAAGGAGGTAAGTGGAGTCTGTAGCCTGTGGTCTCCAGGCAGAGGCTGATCACCCATAGTCAGCTGAAGCAGTGCCACAGGAAGTGAGCAGGAAGCTAACACCTTCCAGACAAGCAGTGGCTGGGTGAGATGATGGCAGGTGAATGTGGGGCTGGACCCTTTGGAGTGTATTCCAGGAATTGGCACTGAGAGGCACAGAAGTGGGTTTGGGCATGGGCATGCAACTGTGTGAGCACTGGGGTAGTTGGGGAACTGGGGCATCCCGGATCTTCAGACAAGTTGCTTTCAACTGGGAGGGTGGAATTCTTCTGAGGAAAACACTAATGATCTAGATCAGCAGACATAGCTGGCTAGAGCATTGTGAAGCCCTGTGCCTACCCCATAGAAAAGGCAGAGCGTGAAGAGGGATGGTTGCCCCAGCCCCTGACGTGGGCATGCGTGTTGCTAATCTCTGATGTGAAAGCAGGGGGGTGGGGTCCTGTTTTCCCTATGGGCCCAGAGTGGTCTGGGGGTGCAGAACCTGGAAGCGAGAGGCAGATGAAAGAGAGGAGGACGGCAGGGTGGGACCAGGATTGCTGGCTGTGACGGGAGCCTGAGAAAAGACCCAGCCCTGATCATAGCCCAGCGAGACCATGTGGGACAGTGAAGCGCTTGTTTGTGGTATTTGAGCTGCCTGGTCTGTTGTAGTTACAACGGCAGTGGAAATGCACATGCTTCCCAGGAGTAGCTGACTGAAATCAGACTGAGGAATAAATCCTCCTGGCCTGCATTTCAGCTGAGGCAGGAAGCAGGTATTCAGCAGTCAGACCCTGAGCCTTGAGAGGCAGGGCCTCTGTGCCCCAAGCACAGCTTTTCCTTCCCTCCTCAATTCCCTGCAGTGCCCAGGCTTTTTTCTATTCTGGGGATTAAACCCAGTGCTTCACATTTGCTGGGCAAGCATTGTGTCCCCAGCTTTTCTGCAGGGTTTTTTCCTTTTTCTTTTTGAGGGAGGTTCATGTTAACTTTGCCTAGGCTGGCCCAAACTCTGCACCCTTCTGCCTCTCCATCCTGAGAGCCAAGGTGACACAATGGTCCAGACCTGAAAGGGAATTTTCAAGCACAAAACACATCAGATACCATTTTTTGAGGAGCCTAGCCTGTCAGGCTTGCTTGTTTGAAGGCTGTTGTAAGCCCTGGGCCTCCATCTCTGCCCCCCTGAAGAGTCCCTGGATGTCAACAGGATGTGGTCTTTGCTGTCCTGTGAGGAAGGGGATACGGTGAGCACTCCAGGCCTGCCTCATGCCTGGGGGGCAGGAGCCAGGGAAGCCGCAGGGCGGGAGAGAGTGGCCCCTGTGCACTGACAAGGGCCTCCCTTGCCCCCACCCTTCCTGCATCCTGGAAGGGAGGAGTCTGCCCTGGCAGCTGCCTTGAACCTGTTTGATCTGCCATGCGTCCAGTGCCACTCCTGAAGGAAGCCAAAGAGAGGGAAATCATCCTGGCGGTGGTGCGTGGCAGTGGCTCCCTCCGCTCAGCCTGTGTGGAGTCTGGTACCTGAGATGCCCATGGAGGTAGGTGCCTTCCTGTCCGCAGGGAGCCGCTGGCCCCAGATGTTCAGAGAAAGCACCCTGCCTCCTGCTGCGCCCTGTGCCTGCTGGAAATGACCTTTGGAGTGGACAGACAAGTTGTGTGCGTGTGTGTGTGTGTGTGTTACAGCAGGCCTCGCTGTTGTGTAAGGAAACCATAAGTGCGTGCCTGTGAGTGAGCCCTCCTCAACCATTGCCTGCAAGAGGGTGGGGCGACACTGGGCCCCGGCTCCTGATGGCTCTTCCCAGGGTCTTTGCACCTGGAGGGAGGCTGCATGGGGAAAAGGCCACAGCAGGGCTGTGGCCCTGGGCGTCTGGGTGGGAATGAGCTGTGGTCACCTGCCCAGTGTGCTTGCTGTCCAGAAATGGCAGCTTACAGTGGCGGCTTGGTTCTCTTTCCCGATCTGCCAAGTCAGAACATCACACGGCAGGCAGGGTTGATAAACATCCTGTCACAAAGATGTGAACACATCATCACCGAGGGCTGTGAGGGGAATGCAAGCTTACAAGGGCCTTTCTTGGGCTGCCTTTGTCCATCTGTCTCTCCCCTCACTTGCTCATTTCTGTTGCTCATGGCTGGCAAAAAAGGGGGGGAGGGGAAAGAGGTCAGCTATTTGCTCTGCAGCAACTCCAGTCAGTTTTTGGAGGTCAGACCAGTGTGGGCTGTGGAAAACTGTATTTCCTACAAAATAAAGTCAGGAAAGGTGGAGACCAAGGAAAAGTGTTTCAGGTGATGGAGTCCATGGAACTTTCTAGAAGGCAGACAGAGTTCTGTGGCTGACAGCAGTCATCTTCCCATTTAACCAAAAGTGGCTGAGTCTTATAGTTCCTGACCTTCTTCTTAGCTCTTGGGGAGTCCCATGGCTGAGGTAAAGCCCCTCCCCCCAGGAGCTCTGTGTGCCGTGGCCCAAAAGACTGTTGGATGCGTGCTGCATTCCCGAGGTGCTTGCTGTGGCCCAGGGGCTGATGGACAGGTGTTCCACTCCTGGGGGCTTGCCGTGGCCCAGGGGCTGATGGACGGGTGCTCCGCTCCCGGGGGGCTTGCCGTGGCCCAGGGGCTGATGGACGGGTGCCCCACTCCCGGGGGGCTTGCCGTGCCCCAGGGGCTGATGGACGGGTGCTCCACTCCTGGGGGGCTTGCCGTGGCCCAGGGGACACTGTTAGATGGTGTTCCATTTGGGTGCTGCACTTGGTGCCTTGTGGTAGCACACATTTGTTTTCCTACCTGTGGAGATTCAGTGTCCCAGAGCTCTTGAATGTCACAGTCATGGGACCCAAGTCAGGGGGTCCCTGGACTCCTTCCAGGGACTGTTGGGGGGACGCACTCATTGCTCACCAGCTTCTGTGGTCTCAGGCATTCCTTGGCTTGTGGCTGACTGTCTACCTCTGCCTCCCTCTGACTCTCTCCCATAAAGGAATGCTTGGATAGCTGGGCTCCAGTGGCTCACACCTGTCATCCTAGCTACTCAGGAGGCTGAGATCTGAGGATCGCAGTTCAAAGCCAGCCAGGGCAGGAAAATCCGTGAGACTCTTATCTCCAATTAACCACCAGAAAACTGGAAGTGGCACTGTGGCTCAAGCGGTAGAGCGCTCGCCTTGAGCTGAGCTGAAGAGTGCAGGGATAGTGCCCAGGCCCAGAGTTCAAGCCGCACAACCGACAAAAAAAAGAAAAAGAAAAGAAACGCTTGGGTTACATTTAGGAGCCACCTGGACAGCCCCTCATCAGGGTTTTCAGTCACACCCGCAAAGTTTGCACTGACCTTGGTCGCGTTGCCAGGTTCCTTGTCCTGGCCCCAGTGTCAGCCTCCCAGAGGAGGGAAGGCTTGCTGGGGGGGGCGGGGGGGGGGGGGATGAGGGGTCAGGCGGGAGAAGCATGGCTGTCACCGCACTGCCAGGAGCTCTGGATGGTTCTCTGTGTCCATGTACGCACAGGTCAGAATTGCAAAGAATCCAGTGTGGCCTCGAGAGAGAGTTGGTAGGAGCTGGGCCTCCGCCACTGCCACCGTGGGGAGTGGCGCTGGCACTGGGGTGCTGGGAGGGGAGGAAGGGTCGCAAGCAGGCTTTGGCCTCACTCTAGGAAGGCCGGGAGAACAGTCCTCACCAGACCTCGCAGCTGGTAAATGGCAGAGCCAAGGCTTTGGACACAGGTCTGGATCGTGAGGAGCTGCGGCTGTGAGCACAGGGAGAAGGGAACAGAATCCAGAGCTGGCATGGCGAGGAACAAGCGAGCCCCATGCCCACCTGGATGCGGCTCCCCAGGGAGAGTCAGGGGCATCCCCTCCGAGGTTGAGCCTGGAGGGCCCATGGCCATCAGGGGGCTACTGAGTGAGGCGTGCAGGGAAGGGAGCTGGGGACAGAGCTCAGAGAGGCACAGCCCTGGCGTGCGGAGGTCCAGAGGCAGAGGGGGGACCAGCGTGGCGTGCTGGAGATGCCCGGGCTCTCCAGGGGTAGCAGGTGGGATGGTCGTCACCCTTGGTCCCGGCGGTTTATTGTCAGTACCCTTGCAGGAGGATTGGGAGTTGGGGAACAGGGTGCTGAGGGCTCTAATGACCACTACGCCGTGTGTGTGTGTGTGTGTGTGTGTGTGTGTGTGTGTGTGTGTGTGTGTGTGTGTGTGTGTGTGTGTGTGTGTGTGTGTGTGTGTGTGTGTGTGTGTGTGTGTGTGTTCTCCTTGGGGCTCCCGGCAGAGGGAGGACTAACCCAAGACCTGCCAGTGCGGAGAGGGGCGGCTTTTGGAGGAGCCATGAGATGACTGAAGCAGCGGTGCCAGGGGCGGAGCCTGGGCGAGGGCGGAGCCTGGGCGAGGGCGGAGCCTGGGCGAGGGCGGAGCCTGGGCAAAGGCTCAGTGAGCATGCCGTGGCCTGCGTGGCCTGCGTGGCCGGGGCTGTGTCACAGGCGGAGGTGGGAGGTGGAGCAGGGCCGCTGGAGCCGTGGAAGCAGGGCGGGGCTGTTGGGGAGCATGGCTGCTGCTGTGGCTGGTTGGGGGACGGCCCTGGGACGGACGGCAGCCGCTGGGTCAGACCCGCTGTTGCAGAAGGAAAGGGAGACCCGGGCTGCTGCTCAGCTAGGCCCAGCTCGTGGCGGTTCCTAAGCTCTTGCTGGTGTATGTAGCCAACGCTATCACCACCACACTCCCCCAGGGAAGATGGGGTAGGACATAGACTTCAACATAGTGTGTCTGAGAAGCGAGCGGGAACGCTGGGGACATTCTGCACGGAAGCTCAGGCAGAGGACAGTGGGGATTGGTGGCCACCTTGGATAGAGGGTATAACATTGGAGTGTGAGCCATGCCCGGCCTCGCAGCCCCAGGGTTGGAGAAGGGACAGGGTGAGACAGGGCTTGTGCAGAGAAGCCTCCGGCGTCAGGAGGGAAGGCCTCCACAATCAGCCCTTCCCCAGTTGGGGCACCCAGGAGGCCAGCCCCTGCAAGGTGGCCACAGTAGCCTCTCGGGGGCTCCCACTCTTGGACTCCATGCTGTCCTCCTTGAGCCTGACTCTGGGCTGTCAGAAGTGAGGAGCTGGGGCTCGGAGCACGCTGAGCGAGCACTGCTGTGGCCTCAGAGTCGCCCAGAGCCACTGGAGCTCCCAAGCCCTCCCCCGGGCCGCCTGGCCCTGCAGTGCCCAGTTGGCTGTTCTTGGCTCTCACCGGGAGGTGGCGACAGGCATGCTCCAGCCATGCAGAAGGGAAGTGCGCTGGCTACAGGTGAGGGTCCAGGAGCCGGAGTTGGGAGCAGCCTGCTGCCACCTGGATGTGGCTCTAAGCAGCTGCCCTGGAGAAAGACCAGGTTCTCTGCCACTCCCGGGCCAACGCGTGCCTGGTACATTTGTACAGTTCCCAGCTGCCACCAGCAGCCCAACCCTGGGTTTGGGTTCCTCCAGGAGGAACCTGGAGCCACGCCAAGCCCCAGGGTGAGTCCTGTGGCCTTGGGAACAATACTCAGGCATGCTAGATTCCAGGCGGCAAGAGGCCTGGACTCTGGTCCCTGGCTCCCCTTGTTAGGAACACGGGGGACAGGTGTGGCCAGCCACAACACAAAAGTCCTTCCTGCTTGCTGGGATCTGTTTTATAGATAACGATTGCAGGACCCTAACCCAAGAAGTAAGGACTCTTTACCTGAGGAGCCTTCGCTTGCCTCTGCCTGGGGAGGCTGAGCCTGGGCAGAGACAAGCTTCAGTCTGAATGGGGCCTGGGACATTGGAGCAGTGTGGTCAGGGAGGCCTTTGGGGAGGGGACATCCAAGTCAAGCACAGATCTATATCCTGTCAGCCGGGCCAGGGAGGGGCCGGCTTTCTTCAGACAGGGACTTCACATCCACCTTGATGAGTAGGAGTTAGCACAGCGTTGCCGGAGTCCAGGGCCAGGGATGTGGTGATGGCGTTGGGTCCCCCGGAGAAGGGGCTCGGGGAGCCGTGGATGCACTTCGAAGCCCACTGACCGCGTGCCTCTCTCCCGGGCCTGCAGGTCCCACCCCACGTGCAGTCTGATGCCCGTCCGGCCCTCTGACCCCCTGGAATGGAATGAGCCTATGCACCCCCTCCGGATCAGCGTGGGGGGCCTTCCCGTGCTGGCGTCCATGACCAAGGCCGCGGACCCCCGCTTCCGCCCCCGCTGGAGGGTGATCCTGACTTTCTTCGTGGGTGTTGCCCTCCTCTGGCTGCTCTACTCACACCGCCCGGCCCCGAGCAGGCCCCCCTCTCACAATGCGCACAACTGGAGGCCCGGCCGGCCACCCGCCACCAGGTACAATGACACCTACCCCCTGTCAGCCCCCCAGAGGACGCCAGGAGGGATTCGGTACCGGATCGCAGTCATTGCCGACCTGGACACCGAGTCCAGGGCTCAGGAGGAGAACACCTGGTTTAGTTATCTGAAGAAGGGCTATCTGACCCTGTCAGACAGCGGGGACAAGGTGGCTGTGGAGTGGGACAAAGACCACGGGGTCCTGGAGACCCACCTGTCAGAGAAGGGGCGGGGCATGGAGCTCTCGGACCTGATCGTCTTCAATGGGAAGCTCTACTCCGTGGACGACCGGACGGGGGTCATCTACCAGATCGAGGGCACCAAGGCTGTGCCCTGGGTGATCCTGTCTGATGGTGATGGAACAGAGGAGAAAGGTAAGGGGAGATGCTATCCAGGCAGCTCCTGTCTGTCTGGGCGCTCAAGAGACAGATGACCTCGCTTTGTTCTGAACTTGAAGCAAAGATCCACGTGTCCAGAAAGGAGGCTGCTTCCTCCCTCTGAGCCCCCGTGCTCTGAGTTGTGCCCCCTAGCCCTGAGGGAAAGCTTTACTGACCTCACCTAGAGCGGCTTCTAGGTTTGATCTGACCCCTAGCAGCCTGCCAGAGAGAGCAACTCCTTCACAGTAGGCTCTAGTAGGTATGGAGGACCTGTTTTCTACCCGAAGCCTTTGGGTATTTGTAACTCATTCGTGGCCCATGTAAAGTGACCAGAACAGACCGATGGCCACAGGCAGCATAATGCCTGTCCTATCGCATGCCAAGTGGTCTTGCAAGCCTTGCCCGAGCCCTTAGGGCCGCGTCCACTGCCCCTGACCGCCCTGACCGGGATTCTGACGTTCAGGGGTGTGGCTCATGCTGGGGTTACTCCCACCAGATGCCTCACCTTGAAACCACACAGGCCAGTGTTCTCAGATTGAACTGGGACTGATTTCAGTTCATGAAACCTGCGGGTCAACCCCAGCTGCCACGCAGGGTCGCAGAGCCTGCCCTGGGCCCCAGGGGCAGAGCCACAGGGTGGGCCAACGTGGCCAGAGTGCTCATGCCTGGAAGGAGGCTGGGAAGGACTTGCCTTGAGTGACCAGGCTCAGTTTCTGCCTGGGCCACCAAGCTACAGTATCCCTGGTGTCTGCCAAGGTGGGCAGTTGGCAGAGACGTGTCCGTGTAGGTATCAGAATCTTCACCCCCATTTCCTGCACACCGCCATCATGTGGGCCTGTGCTTCCCCCAAGAAGTGGAGGGAATCGGACAGTGGAGGCTTTGGGGCTGGCCCTTGGCCAAGACACTCAGTAAAGGGGGCAGCTTGTCTAGGATGTGGCTCAGAGGACCCAGGAAGCCACCTGCAGAGAAACATCTGGAGGCTTCCGGCAGGGGGCGAAGCAAGGAAGTGCCGAGACAGAGATGCAGGTTTGGAGGGTGAGGCAGTAGCAGCCTGGAGGCGGAGCCAGGGAGGAGAATGCCCAAAGAGCCGCCGGGAGGACACCTGTGTGGCGGCCTGCGCAGCCAGGTGAATGAGGCCGCTGACAAAGCAGACCCAGCTCCTGAATGCATTCACCCAGATGAAGACGGTCCCCTCAGCCCTCTGGTGCGGCACTGGGGGGGCAGGCTTGCTCACGGCTGCAGAGCCCTTCACACTGGCCTGTGCGGGCTGGGGCTGGTCGAGGGCTAGGGGCCCAGCTTGGGGAACAGGAATCGGGGTCTTAGCCACCTTCGGGAAGGGGGCTGCAATAGAGGAGGGCAGAAGTGAGGTTCTGCACAAGCCGCACAGGAGGCAGGGCCTCCAGGGCAGGAGGGAAGGGGAGAGCCGGGAGGGAGACAGGTGCTGACTCCCACAGTGGGGCTGGAGGCTGCACAGGCTCCTCCTCGGCTCCACTCGCCTCCTCCTGGCTCCAGGTAGTGACTTGGGAGTGCTGGACGCCAGGTCCCAGAGCAGGGCTGGCCCGTGTCCCAGGCAGGCCCCTCACGCACCTCCTCTCGTCCCAGGCTTCAAAGCTGAGTGGCTGGCCGTGAAGGATGAGCACCTGTACGTGGGCGGCCTGGGCAAGGAGTGGACCACCACCACGGGGGAGGTGATGAACGAGAACCCCGAGTGGGTGAAGGTGGTGGGCCACAAGGGCAGCGTGGACCACGAGAACTGGGTGTCCAGCTACAACGCTCTGAGGGCCGCCGCTGGGATCCGGCCGCCAGGTAAGAGCCAGGGGATGAGGTAGTCTGGCCGGTGTCCATTCCCGCCGTTCCCCAGGCCAGGGGGTTCTGAAACAACTCAGCCACGTTCTCTTGTGTGCCTCGAGAGTCCTGACTGAGCACCCCAGGTCCCCGCGGCCAGCAGCGCCCATGGGCACACAGTTGCGGCTCTGGCTTAGGGGAGCCCAGACTCCATTCCAGGTGCTTGAAGTCCCGGGCCTGCCCTCCTCTCGGCTCTCCCCGGGCCCTTGGTTTCTGATTGGAGGACGCCTGGACAGTCTGCCCTCGTGCAGGGGTGTAGCAGGCAGAGCAGGGAGTTTGTCCCAGCGGTGCTCTGTCCAGAGCAGGGCAGGACCAGGCTTCCTTCCGCTTTGCCAGGGCCTCCACCAGTTCTGCCCACAGCCAGATCTGCTCCTTGGTGTTATCTCTTCTCTGCACCTTCTTTTATTTGTTTGTTTTTGGTGCCTCATGACTGGAGCAAAAGTGTAAAAGGAAAGATAACTTGTAGAGGCCCCAGGCCCTCTGGGGACAGCTGGGGGTGGGGGGGCGGAGGGAACACTGAAGGTTCACTGTCCACTCTGTGTGCTTGCTCGGTGTTACTCCAGATAATCGAGAGCAGCTGGAGACGTAGAGGGAAATAAAGCCAGACCCTGAGGCTTGCCACCTCAGCTCTCCTGTTGTGAACCATGCGGGCCCCAGAAGGACGGGCTATCACCCACGGGTCTGTGCTGTGCCCCAGCCTACCCGGTCTGTGAATCTGTCCACTGCAGGACGGGCCAGGCCGCCCTGCGGGAGGGGGTGACCGGGTCTGTGCTGTGTCTGCAGGCTACCCGGTCTGTGAATCTGTCCACTGGAGGACGGGCCACGCCACCCCAGCCTACCCCGTCTGTAAATCTGTCCACTGCGGGACGGGCCAGGCCGCCCTGCGGGAGGGGGTGACCGGGTCTGTGCTGTGTCTGCAGGCTACCCGGTCTGTGAATCTGTCCACTGCAGGACGGGCCAGGCCCCCCCGCGGGAGGGGGTGACCGGGTCTGTGCTGTGTCTGCAGGCTACCCGGTCTGTGAATCTGTCCACTGGAGGACGGGCCACGCCACCCCAGCCTACCCCGTCTGTAAATCTGTCCACTGCAGGACGGGCCAGGCCGCCCCGCGGGAGGGGGTGACCGGGTCTGTGCTGTGTCTGCAGGCTACCTGATCCATGAATCTGCCTGCTGGAGCGACACGCTGCAGCGCTGGTTCTTCCTGCCGCGCAGGGCCAGCCACGAGCGGTACAGCGAGAAGGAGGACGAGCAGAGGGGCACCAACCTCCTCCTGAGCGCCGCCCCCGACTTCGGGGACATCTCCGTCAGCCGCGTGGGGGAGCTGGTGCCCACCCACGGCTTCTCCTCCTTCAAGTTCATCCCCAACACTGATGACCAGATCATCCTGGCCCTCAAGTCCGAAGAGGACAGCGGCAGGATCGCCACCTACATCATGGCCTTCACCCTCGATGGCCGCCTCCTCCTGCCGGAGACCAAGGTCGGAAGCGTGAAGTACGAAGGCATAGAGTTCATCTAAGCTGGTCCGTTTCCACGTCAAGTGCGGCTGAAGGCTGGATGGTGTTAGCTGCATCAGGACTCGATTTGTATAAAAACTGGAGGAGCGTGCTTTGATTTGGTTTTTCCTTTTTCGTAACCATGAGGAGTCCATCTAGCCTAGCGATTTCCAGAATAGAGAGCTCCTCGGGACAAGTGCAGCAGCCGGATGTGACATCCTGGCACCGGGAAAGGCAGCGGCCACGCAGCAGTCACTTTGTCCCTGAGTGCCTGACCGGGGCTTCTGCACACTGCCTCACGGGTGTACAGAATGGCCCCTGAGGACACCCTGACCTGGGGCTCTGGCCCAGAATTCCCTGCGCCCTACCTCCTTCCATGCCACCTCCCATGCCTTCCGCTGTGTTCTCTGTTCTGTGACTGTGGGAGCACTTGGTGTGTCCCACGTCCTGGGAGCAGGCCCCGCCTCTTCCTCCTTGCCAGCCAGGTCCCACACACCCCTGCAAGACCCCTGGAAAGCGAATGTTTACACTGTGGGAACGGCCTGGCCACGGGGGCCCAGGCCCTGAGGGCCGGCCGCCTGATTTGCCCATCCAGCGTGTGTTCCCTACCGAGCTGCTCCTGACCCGCACCCCTTCCCGCCACCACGACGCCAGCCTTCAGGAGCGCGGTGGCTGTGTGACACTCGCAGTTTAATTATTATTAAACAATCACCAGATTCTGTCATCTAGAGCAGTCATGGTGAGCAGCCAGGGGGCTGCAGCCAAGCAGCCAGGGAAGGCAAAGCAAGTTTGCTGCCGGTTCCTGAGCCCTTGGGCTCTGCTCTTCCTGGCAACCTGCAGAAAGTGCCATGTCCTTCAGACTGTCACCGCGACGTGAATGTGTTCCGCCCTGGGTCCTGACGGGGGTCTGCTTATTCTCGAGATTGTCCCTGTCCTGTCCCAGGGTTTGTCCCCCGGGGCCCTTCCCCCCTCTTCCCAGGGGGAGTTTCCTGCAGGCCGAGGCCCCATTGCTCCTACGGCCTCTTCTTGAAGCTCCAGGCACAGGTGAGGAGGGCAGCTGGGCATGCTGGACCATGCCCATTCTAGAAAGAAAGGACTCACCCACCCATCCCACACCAGCACCTAGGGCAGGGCAGAGCCACCTCCTGGGAGGGAAGGGCCTGTGCCGGCCCTGGCCCTGGTGGACCTCCTGGGCCTCTTCCGCCAGGCAGGAAGCCTGCAGGGTCTCCTGTTGGGTTTGCCCTCCCTGTCAGACCCACATGAAACAGCTCTCTAGGCCCGGCTTCTGCCTTGGCCCAGTGGGCCGCGAGCCAGCCGGGAAAGTGGTGTTAGCTGTGCCGCCTACAGCACAGAGATATGAGGAACAGGCCAGAGACGGGACTTTGCCCATCGGGGCTTTCTGGTGTGTTCCTGCAGGCTTCCCCAGCATCTGGGGTTTTCAGGTTGTACAGTTGCCCCTTTCTTGCCCTCTCCTCCAGGCTGTCAGCAAAATGATTGTGTCCCTCCCTCCCTTATCTGTTTCTTGTCCACAATAAAGTGTCCAAGAAAGTGAGTGCCCACTCGTGTCTGGTCTGTGCTGGCTGCTGGTTGGTGGCTGGCTGGGGGGCGGGGAGGGGGGGGTGGATGATGTGTGGTAGCGCAGGCTCCAGTGACAGGCCCTCCCCAGTGGGTCCATCTTGAGCCCATCACCGGACAGCTTCCCAGGACTGGACGGGCAGGGGCAGAGGTTCCAGACTCCAGCATGGCTCTGAGCTTTCTGTGCTGCGTGGCTGGGACAGATGTCACCTCCCTCCTGTATCCTCTCAGAAAGGAAGGTTTCCCGAAGCTGCCTTGTGCCTGAGGTGATCTAGGAGCGAGTTGAGTCCCGTGAGGGCTCAGGAGAGGACCCTGCCCAGGCCACACGCGGCCCCCCTCATGCTCCTGCAGATGGGGAGATGAGGTGGCTCGGGCACGAGGCCACCCAGGCAGGGGTCAGTGGCGTGTGTGGTCAGTCTGCCTTCTGAGGATACAGAGGAGTCACACCGAAACCTTGTCACCACCCCCAGAGGAAGGAGTGGCACCAACGCACCATCCCTTACAACACTCGCAGAAGGGACAAAGCTCCCTTCAGATGGTCACGAAGGAAGCGTGTCCTCAAAGATGAGCATAGCCAGGGTGGTCAAGAGACACCAGGCTGGGGAGTCCAGGCCTGGCCGTGTCCACGCGGTCCCAGCTAACGCAGCCTTTCTCCTTCCCGCCCGCTTCCCTTCCTGCGTTGCATGCTGAGGCAGCAGAGGGGGGCGAGGGAAGCCCGCGGGGGACGGAGGGGGGACTGGGCTTGGATCCTGGAGAGCCAAGGGCCCCAGGCCAGGCTGGGGCTGCCTGACAGGCCAAGGAACTGCAAGCCCAAGGCAGAAGCCCTGAGGAGTTCAGCGGCTCTTCCTGTCGCTGGTTCCTAGCGCCACAGGCCTGGGCCTGGGGGCCCTTGGGGCCTCGTGGCCTCCTGCCTCCCTCATCCTAAGGCGATTGGAGGTGATGAGGGTGGGTGGGCTGGGCCCCAGACCTGCTGAGACTAAAACTCCCCTGCCACACTCCCTGCAGCCGCCCCTGCCCCCGGGACCATATCACCAGCCGAGGTGACCCTGTCACAGCAGAAAGCCTCACACCTGGGGAAAAGGTCACGGAAAAGCTAACCGCTGCAAGGCCTATGGACCACCTCTCCTGGGCTCGAGGTTTCTTGTGGGGGACCCGGGACCCCGGCCCCAGCCTGAGGCTGCACACAGCTCTGGGCCTTGGCTGTTTGGGCTGAGCACAGGGGGCTCCCCAGGAGGAAAGGAGGCACCGATCACGCAGGGGATGGCTGGGTGGGAGCCAGCAGCGCCGTGGACATCCACTGGCGGGCTGCGTGCACGCGCTGTAGGGACCGTCAGGAGAGAACACGGGGAGCGTGATGGGCCAGGTTCGCAGCCTCCCTGGGCACCTTGTCCCCAGGGCTCAGGCCTCCCCGCCCCTGGAAGGAGTCGGAGTCACCCAGTGTCTGGACAGGATTCCCTCCATGTCCAGGGCTCCATGAACTCCTTGCAGTTGAACTTAGGCACTAGCCGGTGCGGTGCGTTAGCCCCGGGAGACACCTAGAGGGCTGGGTCAGCACCCGAGCCGCCGGTCAGGCAGCCAGTGCCGGCTGTCCTGCCAGAGCCGCAGCTCCTCAGCGCCTGCTGCTCCCATCTTCCCTTCTGGCCCCACTACTGAGAAAGAAGTGGGCCCAAGGTCTCTTGTCTGCAGCCAACCCCAGAAGAAGGTCTGGTCATGTGGTTTCTGCAAATCGAAACTAGACGGGGCTTTCTGAGCATTTCCTGGGACCAGCCCAGCACAGTCCATCCCCGGAGGACTGCAGCTCCAGCGGCACTCGGCAGGTGAGCTCCGCCTCTGGCTCTCAGGTGGGAACCCCTCTCTCTGCAGTGTCACGGGGGAGGGGACAACTTCCTGTTTACACCCACGCCTGCGAGGGGTGGGGGTCCGGAGCCCCTGAGTCTGGGAACCATCTCTGTTAGGCCTCAGGCCTCTGCGAGCAGCTGGGCAGGCTGTACACCACGCAGAGGCCCACCCAGAGGGGCGAGCTAGTTGGAGTTCGGCCCTCGGCCCTCTCTTGGGTCTGTACATTCCAGCCCAGGTCTGAACAGGTATGAATGCAGAACTCCTTTTCCTAATTTGCACAAAGGTGCCATGAAGGCCGGCACAGGAATCCTTGTCCCAACCTCCCTGGGTAGGAGTCAGCCACCATCCAGAGCGCAGCACCATCCTCCGACCCGGGGCCAGGGGTTGGGCCCCGGTCCCAGGATAAACAAAGCTGGTGGCCACAGCGCTCGCTTGCCCTGGCCCCTCTGGGACTAACTGAGGTTTCCCAGGACACGGCACCCCTGTGAGAACGCTGAGATGGTCTCAGAACAGACGTGGAGTGTCCTGACACCCCCGGCCTCCACGAAGGCTGTGGAAGGAAGGCCCCTGGGCTCTCAAGCCGTGCAATGGGGAGCAGACTAACTTCTCCGCTTGAGCTCGTTTGTTTGTGAAGTAGGGTTCTTTCCCAGGGGTCACAGTAAGTCCCAGGGCAGCCGTACTGGAGAGGGGCAGTGGCAGGGACCCCTGGTTCCAATACAGAAGGATGAGGAGTTTTGATTCCATGCTTCCTGCCATTCTATGCATGTGGCCACGGCACCTCACGCTGAGCAGCATGAACCAGGCTGGAAGTCAAGAAGCAAGCACCCGCCGTGCGGAGGCTCGAGCCTGAGATCCTCACTACCTGGAGGGGGGGGTTGGAGATAGAGCAAGGGCAGGAAGGAGAAAAACCACAGTTTAAGGCCAGTCCAGGAAGAAAAGTTTGAGAGAGACTCCGTCTCATTGAATGGCTGAGCACAGTGGCTCACACCTGTGATCCCAGGCAGGCAACACAGTAGCTGGATATGTTGATATGCACCTGTCATTCCAGAGACACGGGGACGTGTAAATAGCAGGATCTCAGCCCAGGCCAACCAGGATGTAAAATAAGACACTAACCTGAAATAACCTAAGCCAAAAACGGCTGGAGGTATGGCTTAAGTGGTAGAACACCTACCTGTTTTGCAAGCATAAGGCCCTGAATTCAATCTCCAGTACTGTAAAGAAGAGGAGGGGGAAAGAAGGAGGAGGAGGAAGAAGAGGAGGGGAAGGAGGAAGGGGGGGAGGAAGAGGAGTGGAAAGGGGGAGAGGAGAAAGAGGAGGGGGAAGAGGGGGGAGATGAAGGGGAGAAGGGGGGAGAGGAGGAGGAGGAGGGGGAGGGGAAGGAGGAGGAAGAGGGAGGGGGAGGAGGCCTCAAGAACTGAACAGGAGTAATGGGCCAGTGAGGTGGTGCACATCTGTCGTCCTAAATATTCATGAAGTGGAGGCAGAAGGATCAAGATCTGAGGCCAGCCCTGGTCAAGACCTTACTTAGAAAATAAAGCCAAGAGGACATGGAGCATGGCTCAAGTGGTAGAGCAGATCCTAGCAAGTGTGAAGACCACAGTTCAAACTCCAGCATCTAAAACAAACAAGCAAAGGTGTGGCTCAAGTGGTAGAGCACCAGCCTTGAAGTGAGAAAAGCCGACCGCTCTCTCAGTTCTCCTTTCTAGAAGACACCCCCTCTGCCCAGCCCACCAGTCCCGCCCCCTCCCCTCCCAGCCCGCCTGCCCCAACCTCCAGACTTCAGCATGGACCCCCCTCAGCAGCCCAAGCTCTTCAGGAGAGGCACGGCCTGACGCCCCAGCCCTTTGGGAGCTGGGAGGCAGGGTGGACAGATGGACAGAAGGACAGAGCAGAGCAGGGCTGAGGGCTGCTTCCTTCTTCGGCAGGCTCGGCGTCGACGTGAGCCATGGCGCTCCTGTGGCTTCTCTGGCCGTGGCTGCTGGCCTCGGGGATGCAAGGTGAGTGGCAGCTGGGAGCCGGTCTGAGCGGAGGGCCGCGGAACCCCCACAGCCTCGCTCTGCAGAAGCAGAGAACCCAGGAGGGGCCCGGCCTGGGCGGGGGCCTGGGCCTGGTCCCTTGAGCACCAGCAGGCCAGCAGGTACTCGTGGCCATTTCCAGGAGGGTAAGAATGGGGCTTCGGGTCTCAGAGTAAGTAAGCAGCTGAGCCCTGGCCCTCACGGCATGCGGCCGCCGGTGTCCCTGCCAGGAACCAGAGGTGATTATGTCCTCGACCTCTCCGGGGAGCTGCCTGGAGCCCTGGCTCAGATCTTCAACAGCCAGCAGGACTGTGACCTGTTCATCCTGGTGAGGGGGCAGGTAGAGCTCCACTTCTGCGCCCACCGGCTGATCCTGGCTGCCAACCCCGAGGCCCAGGCCCTGTGGGGGGAGCCGGGCCCGAACATCACCATGAGCGTGGACTCCGAGTGTGCGCCCTACATGGAGGACCTCATCAGGTAAGCCAGCCGCACTCTCCCTTCCAGAAGCATCCGCCAGAACAAGGGGCCGGGCAGTGCACGCAGCTGACGAGAACACAATCACAGGTGCGCGCGTGTGCACACACACACACACACACACACACACACATAACACACAAGAGCTGTGTGCACAGCTGCTACCAGGTCTTGAGAGTCCCTTACAGACAAGGAAGGCGAGACGCACGAAGGCTAAGCCTGCAGCCCCAGGAGAGCGTCCACCCTGCAGCCCCAGGAGAGCGTCCACCCTGCAGCCCCAGGAGAGCGTCCACCCTGCCCGGGTGTCTCTCTGTGTCTCCCCACGAGAGAACTGCATGGCTTTGTTTTCTAAAGCAGAACATTTTTTTGAAGATTTTTTGTTGTTGTTGGTCGTGGGGCTTGAACTCTGGGCCTGGGCGCTGTCCCTCAGCTCTTCAGCTCAAGGTAAGCGCTCTACCTCTTGAGCCACAGCACCACCTCTGGTTTTCTGGTGGTTCATTGGAGATAAGAGTCTCACAGAGTTTCCTGCCCAGGCTGACTTTGAATCACAATCCTTGGATCTTAGCCTCCTGACTAGCTAGGATGACAGGCGTGAGCCACTAATGCCCAGTGACTTTTTTCTTTTTTGGTTAGTGGTAGAGCTTGAACCCAGGGCCTAAGCACTGTCCCTGAGTTTGTCTATGCTTGAGGCTAGTACTCTACCACTTGAGCCACAGGGCCACTTCCAGTTTTTGCGTAGTTCATTGGAGATAAGAGTCTCATGGGGACTTACCTGCCTGGGCTGGCTTCAAACTTCCATCCTTAGATAGCGTCCTTAGAGAGGGCTGGTGGAAGCCTGTCCCTGCCCTGAGTGGGCAGTGATGTCCCCAGCAGGGACCCGTGGATGTGGCTGAAGAAGGTCTGCATACAGGAAGGACGGGGCGGAGGCCCTCTACCTGGCTGGTGGACACAGTGAAAGCAGAGGCTGCCCACCGTCCAGTGTGGGTGGGCGCCCGCCCGAACCCAGCAGGGCCGCAGGGGTCTAGTGTGGACATGCTGCGGGGCGGAGGGTGGGAGCCCTGTGCAGGACCAGCTCACGCCCTCCAGCCACGTCCAGGGTGACAGGTCATTGCAGTGGCTGCCGCTGTGGCCACCCCCTCCCCATGGCCCAACATGAGATGTGGGGCTTGCACTGTGGGGAGACCAGCAGGCACCGGCACCGCAGCATGTGGGGTGGGTCTACAGTGGACCGCCATGTTGGAGATGCCCAGGGCTCCCCTGTCCTCCTCCTCCCCCTCCCCCAGGTACTTCTACTCCCGGAGGATCGAGGTCTCCCTGTCATCCGTCAAGTGCTTCCACAAGTTGGCCTCTGCCTTTGGGGCCACTGAGCTGCAGGCCTACTGTGGACAGCTCTTCGCCACCTTCCTCCCCGAGGACCCGTCCTTCCACAAGGCCGTGGATCTCTACGCCTATGCGCAGGCCTCCGGGGACCCTGTGCTGGAGGAGCTGTGTGTGCAGTTCCTGGCCTGGAACTTGGAGAACCTGACCCAGGCCGAGGTCTGGACAAGCATCCCCCAATCCTTACTGGAGGCCCTGCTCCCCAGGAGCGAGCTGGCCGTGTCCAGCGAGCTGGCCCTGCTGCAGGCCGTAGATGTGTGGAGCCGGGAGCAGGGAGCCTCCCCGGGGGACGTGGAGGGCCTGGTGGAGCACATCCGGTTCCCCATGATGGCGCCCGAGGACCTCTTTGAGCTGCAGTACACGCTGCCCCTGTACCAGAGGCATGAGGTGCTGTTCCAGAGCAAGATCCTGCAGGCTCTGGAGTTCCACACGGTGCCGCTGCCGCTGCTGCTCCGGCACTACGGCCTCAACCTCACCTCCGAGGCCTACATGCCCCGCGCCTACACCGCCGCCAACTGGAGCGCATCTGTCACCAACGGTTCCTGGGCCGCACATGCCCAGTGGGACTATCCTTCCAGAGCTCCATTTGTCTACAGAAAACAACTGGGCTACAGATACAGCTATCTCTCTTCTCCCTACCAGTCCTTCCGGACCCCCCTGCACCCCAGCTTTCTCTTCCGGGACCAACTGGTCTCCTGGTCTCTCGTCTACCTGGGACGGATGCAAGACTGCTGGAACTATGGCTTCTCCTGCACCTCCGAAGAGCTCCCGGCCCTGGGCCTCACGCGCTCGGGTGCCTGGGACCCCACCATCGGCTACGACAACAAGGCCCTCATGCTCTGCGACGGGGATCTCGTGGTGGATGTGGCCGACTTCCAGGGCTCCAAGGCCTCCATCCCCAGCGCCCTGGACACCAACAGCTCCAGGAAAGCTTCATCCTTCCCCTGTGCCTCGGGGTCATTCAGCAGCTACCAAGTGGTCATCCGCCCCTTCTACCTCATCAACTCCACAGGCCTAGAGTAGATGGTGACCCGAGGTGGGGGGGGGGGGGCGCCAGGAGAGGTGCGGGGAGCCTCCCTCTCCTTCCGCAGCCACCTCCCCCACCAGCCACTAGGTGTCCCCCTGCTCCCATCCCTCTCCCTGAGCTTACAGAAATTACTAGAAAGTTTGTGCTGGTTTTCGGGGACCTCCGGGGTGCAGCCTGTGCTACCCCCATTGCTGCTCCCGGTCATTAAAATCTCGTTGCCCTTCTCCTGCGTGTGTTTGTGCGGGGAGGGGTGCTGGGCTTAGCCAGGCACGGATGTGTTTGGACGTCAGATGTGTGGGTGCTGATGAGTGGGAAGGAGCTGGGGCCCCAGCTTGTGAGGAGGCTGGGGGCCAGCAGGGGAAACGGGCAAGAGAAACGGAAGCCCCAGTCTGGGCTGGGGGGGAGGACTGCAAAGAGAGAAGAGGGGTGGGGGGCGGGGGGCGCAGAGTAGCCAGGGCCGGGCTGCCCTCCCCCCTTAGACCAGGGAGGTCCCTGGGAAGCAATGGCCCTGCTGGGCCGGGGAGGCTGAGGAGGAGCGGCCTGGGCAGAGTCCTCTGCCAGCCATTGCATGGGTGTCCAAGGAACAGGGACAAAGCGTCACGTCTCCGCGTGACACTCGTAGTGAAGAACTGGAACCAGCCGGCGTCAGCCGGCAGCTTGACCACAAGTAAGAGTCACACACAGGGGGTGAGGGTGAGGCAGAAGAGGCGTGTGTGGGGAGGCGCTGGGAGACCCATGGGGGCCGGGGGTGAGCCAGGGCGTGGGCCTGGACGCCACGGCCTGCACGGCAGCGGGGATTCTAACATGGCCTTTCCGGGCAGGGGGAACGGGGCCTGACCAGGGCAGAGGCCAGGGCCGGCCCTTCTCCCTCAGGCTCAGAGAAAACTTGACTCCAGAGCCAGGTGGTGGCCAGACCCCCCTCCCCACTTCGTGGGATGGAGAAGCCCAGGCTAGCGGCTGAGGCTGCAGGCATGAGCGCCTGGCCTGGCTGGGCCGTCTGAGGTGTCTCCAGTGCTGGGGGTGTGGGAAGCGTTCTCTAAGCTCTGGCCCTCGGAGATGGCCCCGCGGCCTCCCGAACCTGGGGAGCGAGATCGCGGCTTTCTGGGGTGTGGGGGTGGAGAGCACACTTCATGTCAGGATTTCTGGAGTCCTGTCTCTGCCTCACCCTGAGGAAGTCTCCGGTCCCCAGGGAGTCTGGCTTGCTGCAGACCTGTCCAGCAGATCGAGAGCCCCGCCCCCAGCCCTCCTCCTGCACACAAGGCCGGACCTCTCTGGAGGAGGCGCCTGTGCCCCCCGCTGTTTGGCTGTCTGTAGCGTCACATTGTGAAAACCTGGAACATCAAGGACTCGTGGAGGGGTTTCCTTATATTCTAATGGGAAGAAAGAGGGGGGCTGCCGGTGGGCAAATCACCACTGTCTTCACCTGGAACCATCAGCCTCAGATGACCTGTGGTCCCCAGTGGCTGCTGGGGTTCTGGCCATCACATCTGTCTTTCAGGTAACAGATGGAGGTAGCAGAAAAGGATACCTATCAGCCAAGACTGTCTATTTAAGTTTTCTTCCTAGCCTACTATGCACTGGATCAAACTGTGCTCAGTTTTCAGCTTCCCCTTGTGCTGCCTCTGTGTGAGATCTGAGCCATACAAAGTGTGACCTTTCAGAGGGTGATTTGGGTGCGAGCTGGGAATTGGAGCTTGTGCCAGTCCCTCTGATTCTCCCCCAGCTGGTCAGAAGCAGCCCCCTCTCCACACAGCCTGGGAGCAGTAGCTTCTGGTTTTCCATGTTGGGCCTCTCGAGAGGCCAGCCCGCCCGGGCAGTGACAGATCCTAGGGTGCAGAAACCATGCCGTGGGTGAGTAGCACACACAAAGCCGAGCCCACTGGCGCAGCAAGGAGCTTGATTTGCTTAGACGCCCAGGTGAGCACTCCCCCGCGAGCTGCTGGACGCTCTCCTTTGCTGCACCGCAGAAGGCTGAGGGCTCTGCGCTCCCCAGACACCCCCCACTCCACGGAGATGAACTTCACACAAGGGAACGCAGCGCCATTGGTCCCGTTACTCTGGCAGCCAGCTTAGAAACTCACACTATGATTAGACTACGCAATCGTTAATCAGTCTGTTGTGCGTTAGGGTTGCTTACATTTAGGTTATCTTGTATACAACACAGGATACATGTTTTAAGTAAATACGGAGTGGAGTACGTACTATGTGCTTAGAGCTATGATGAACACTTTCTGTCGAGTTTGGCTTTCCAGTCTGAGGCATGCCTTCGGACAGTGTATCTTTTACTGTGGTAAAAGGTACTTCACCAAGTTTCTCTCTGAGCTGTGTTTGTGGTTGTCATTTATTTTCTCACACCAGGGCTTGATTTCAAGGTCTTGAGCTCACTGAGCTCTGCTTGCATGGCTGGTGCTCTACCACTTGAGCCATGCCTCCAACTCTTTCTGGTTATTTTGGTGAAGGAGTCTTACAGACTTTTCTTCCCAAGGCTGGCCTCAAACAATGATCCTCCTCAGTAGTGAAGATTGCATGCTTGAGCCACTCCTAATGGCTCTTTGGGCTACGAATTCATCAATGGGTGAACCTGTCACTTAAGTTAGCGTGCTCAGAACCAGGGCACTTCTCCAAAGCCTGGCACCAAGACTTCCACACAAGAGCCCTTGGCCGGGGGTTGGGGGGCGGGGGGAGACACTATATTTTTGGACATTTACACCACAACTGACTTTGAAATGACCGATTGCTTTTTATTCTTCCTGCTGTCCTCAGGCTTTTCTGTCCAGAAACCCAACCTCTACTCAAGTCTTGGAACACTCCATTTTACGTCAAGACGCACTTCCCCGTTCCAGAATTACAAAACAAGGCCCACGAAGATCTTTCAAGTCACGTTGGGGTCACTGTGTCCCACCAGCGGTGGAGGAGGAGGCCTGGAGCAGGAGGTCCGGGGGGAACGGAGCCTCCACTCGCCTCCGTGGCTGCCGGGAACGCCAGCCTCGCCGGCCGGGACTGCCCGGCCCTTTGCGGACCCTCTGCACAGGAAGGACGCCTCCCGCACGGAGGAAGTGTGTTACGCCGCCACCGCCATGTGGAATACCATCCAGCTGGGGAGAAGGGCCCTCGCTGGAGACAGTATAGCGCTATGAGGAGACCGCATCTCGCGAGAGCTGCCCACGGAGGCCGTGCCCCTGGCAGTGACCTCCTCGTGCAGTGCCCTCCACTTACCAGTCTGGGTGGACAGGGCTGGCAGGGTGTGTTGTGGCGGGAGGGTACAAAACCTGCGTTAGCTTCTCTGGGGAAGGGGCTCCCCGTGGGTCCCTCCTGCTGTGCATATGGCTCCCCCAAAGTGCTCTCCTCCTCGCTGGGCGCCAGCGCCTCACACCTGTCACCCTGGCTACTCCAGAGTTGGAGACCTGAGGGTCAAAGTTCAAAGCCAGTCCAGGCAGGAAAGTCCATGCGATTCCTATCTCCAACTAACTAGCAAAAAGCTGGAGGCGGTGGTGTGGCTCGAGGGGTAGAAGAGCAGCCTTGACAAAAACGAAGCCCCAGTTCCTGTATGAGAAAAATAATGATAATAATACCAGAAAGTTCTGTCCTTCCTTAGAGCTCCGCCTCAGACGCAGGCCGTACCTGGCTGGCGTGGGGGCCGGGCATCCGGGAGCTTCCTGGCTCCGGCGCCCCTCACCCCGCCCGTCCGGCTGCGAGGAAGGTGGCTGGGCCTGGGCCTCCGTGGGAGCTGGACAGAAAAGGTCTGATGTGGCAGCAGCTGATCTAGAGTGAGCGCGGCTGGTGGAGCCAAGCCCGCGAGGTTACTCAACAGCAGAGGTGGCGGGCCGCCAGCCTTGCGAGTGTCCCACGCCCTGCCTGTGAGTGTCCCCAGGGCAAGTCCCCAAGGCCCACAGGGGAGAGCGCCAGGGGGCTCCAGGGGACCGGGCTGGGACGTGAACAATGACAAACATACACAGCTGCCCTTCGTCCCTGTGTCTGGCTCTGAGCTCCTCAGACCTTTGGAGGCTTCCTGGGGGGGGGGGGCATCCTGCCAACCTTACGCTGGCGCGGGGAGCCCCAGAGCCTCGCCCCAGGCAGCCTCAGGATGGGGGGGATAGCTGAGTCCGTCTCCAGTGGCCGTGCTAGGCTGGACCCACAGACCCCACAGCAAAGGACCCGGGCCGGGGCGGGGGTCGCCGGGCTGGTGAACATTCCAGACTGCACAGGAAGAGCATCTCTGTCCCGAGGCCTCCGGACCTTTACCTGTGAGCTCGAACCTGCGGCTGTTCCTGTGTGTCTGACATGGTTGGTAATAAACCAGCAAAGGCAAAACAAGTGGATGCTGGTTCTGTGAGCCGCTCTGGGTAATGACTGAGGATGAGAGAGAGAGAGAGACAGACAGACAGACAGACAGAGAGAAGGAAATTGGGCCAGTGGGACAGGGGTGGGGGCACCGGGCTCCGGCGGCTCAGGCTGGACTTGGGGAGTCTTGGGGAGTCTTGCCGAGCGGCCCTTTCTCTGGCTCAGCATGGGCTCAAAGCAGTTCATGTGGGGCTGGGCTGGGAGGGCAGACGCCCGGCTGGTGAAGGGGACACGGTCACCTGGCGTGAAGGAGGCAGAGCAGCAGCTTTCCTCAGCTGGGGCCCTGGAGCCATGGGAGAAAGGCGAGCGGGAACCAGGCCGGGCAGAAGGAAGCAGCTGTCTGGGTTGGGCTGTGGCCTAATGAGAGCCAAGGAGAGGGTGCCCAGGGCCCAGGGGCTCAGAAGGCCAGCGCCTCAGGGAGAGAGCAGCTGCATTTGCTGGGGACCGGCATGGGGCCCCACAACCAGGCAGCGGTTGGGCGGGGGCTGAGCATCCGAGGCCTGACCCCTCCAGGCTCTGCCTCTGTGAATGGCGCTCCCCGAGCACTTCGAGAATCCTTCTGTGTCCCAATCCCCACCCCACCACGCACCCAAAGCCACCCTCTCTCCAGGGGAGCTGGGATGTGGGGACAGACAAAGGGACACACAGCCCCACGTCGTGTCCGTCGTGGGCCGGGCCAGGCTCAGGGGCAGCTGGGCACACATCTGGAACCCACCAAGCCAGCTTTACAAGAAGACCTACCTCCCCCTCTCGACACCCCCCACCCCCACACCTCCCCCCCACCCCCACCTCCCCACAACCACCCCCACCCCCACCCCCACCCCCCCACACCCACCCCCACACCCACCCCCCACCCCCCCACCCCCACGCCTCCCCCCCACCC